GGTCCCCATGGGCGCTGTCGGCTCCTGGGCACGCGGCGTACGGGTATCCCTGCCCCTGGGCACATGGCACAGGAGTGGCGCCGGCCCCAGGCGCGCAGTGCACGGGCGCTGCTGACTCCTGGATGCACGGCACAGGAGTGCCGTCGGCCCCGGGCATACACCGCATGGGCTGTTCCGGACCCGGGCGTGTGGCGTATGGGTGGCCCCACCCCTGGGTGCATGGCAGACCCACGCCTGGGCGTGACCCACCGCATGGCGTGCGGCACAGGATCGGTGCTGTCCCTGGGAGCGCGGCGCATGGGTGGCGCCAGCACCGATACACGGTGTATGGGTGGTCCCACCCCCAGGCACGTGCACGGCCCAGCCCCCGGGTGCGTGCGCGGCCCCACGCCTGGGTGCCCGATGCTTGAGTGGCCCCGCCCTCAGGCGCCCAGCAGCCCCGAAAGGTTGGGGACCACTGATCTAGATAACAACAGATAAAAGGGTAAGAGAAAAGACAAGAAGCACAGGGAGAGGTAACTTGCCCAAGATCATGCAGCATGTCTGTCGGTAGAAGAGCCTGGATAGAACCAATGTTCCTTGCCTCATCCATCCACTGGAACATAATGCTGCTGGCTATACAAATCAATGCCTGGCTATACAAATTAATAGACCACTCTGCAAAGGCAGCACAGACAGAACCAGACTCCTCATCTGACACACAGTATTAAACATATGTTCCTAAGTAGGGTTCTTTAGACTCTGTAAATTTAGGTCAATTCTAACACTGCTTTTGAGGGGAGATAAAAGAACAGCTGGCAATAGTGGAGTTCCTGCTCTCTCAATGGGGATATTATTTACCGTAATTTAAAAGGATGAAAACAAAATTATTTAAAGAGTTGCAGGAATAAACGGAAAGTCAGCATGATCATATTGTGTGTCCCAGCACTCATCATGGGCTTTTTGCATTTCCTCAGTTTGAGACCTAAAAGTTACTGATAACATTGCCTCTGTTTTGTTTTCTTACTTTAAATCTCTCCTCCCAGGGGGTCTGCAGAAGCTGAATCATCTCCAGAGGGGATCCTAGCTCCAACATAGCTATGACCCTTATTTCAGGATCTAAGCTATTATCATAGCATTGACCATGCAACTGTAGAGAGAAAAGGAGGGATTGTCATATTGATGCATATACAAGTACAAATGTAGGAGGGAGTTGAATAAATATTGACTGATCAGCTTGGCTTCTGTGGAAAATGGATTCTCAAGTACAGTAGTAGAAGGCTTTCATTCTCTGTACTCTATTTAAAGCAGGCAGACACTGTGTAAATACAGCAATACCGTCGATAATGCAATTACTCTGTGTTTGGAAGTCACATACACAGTGCTGATACCATCCCACTGATGCCTAGTGCGATTTGATATCCCTACCTCGCAGCCATGCTTATACTGGGCGAGAAAGCAGCGCGAACTGACTTGTGTGATCCCCCTTCCTCCTGCTAATGGCATCATTAGCAGTCATCAAACCCAGAAAGAGACCCTGATGTGTTTACAGGATGTGGTAGTGATAGAAATGTAGCCGTGTTAGTCTGGGGTAGTTGAAGCAAAATGCACTTTAAATCCTTTGGTATATATGGTTGAGACTACTTTCTTCCACTATTTGATCTGAGGAAGTGGGTCTGGCCCACGAAAGCTCATCATCTAATAAACCATCTTGTTAGTCTTTAAAGTGCTACATTGTCCTGCATTTTGCTACAGGATGTGGGTTTGAATAACTCCGTCTACAAAGCACGTGGCTCGGGGCGGACCCTGGCCAGAGGGGCTGGACTAAACTGTCCCCCCAAGCGCATTCCCATCAGCCTGGTTTCTGTAGGAGACTGCGATCTCCTTCCTTCGCCCAGCCCCGGACGCAGCTAGCCCCCTAAAGGGAGAATCCGTGAGGCTGCATTTTGCTACAGGATGTGGGTTTGAATAACTCCGTCTACAAAGCACGTGGCTCGGGGCGGACCCTGGCCAGAGGGGCTGGACTAAACTGTCCCCCCAAGCGCATTCCCATCAGCCTGGTTTCTGTAGGAGACTGCGATCTCCTTCCTTCGCCCAGCCCCGGACGCAGCTAGCCCCCTAAAGGGAGAATCCGTGAGGACTCCACCGACGCAGGGCGCAGCTGTCTTGGCAATGCCTGCGCCAAGGAGATCGGGCCCTCGGCCTGCTCCCGTCCCCACAAATGCCTCCACTCACGGGGGCTGCCGCAGCAAGCGCCCGGGGAGCCCGCCGGTGGTGGGGACCAGGAGCCG